GCTGCGTGCCCCGCCCCCGAGCTGCATGCCCCGCCCCCGAGCTGCGTGCCCCGCCCCCGAGCTGCATGCCCCGCCCTCTCGCTGCGTGCCCCGCCCCCGCGCCCTTTCCTCCGCCCCGCCCTCACCGTGCTCCGCCCCGCCTGCCGCAGAGGCAGTTGCCGCGCCGCCTGCTCCGTCATTGGCCACAGGGGCCGTCCGTCAGGCCGGGGCGCGCCGCTGATTGGCCGCGGGGACGGGGGCGGTGGCGCGATGCGTTGGGGTCACTGTTTAGAGCGGGCGCTGCGGTGCGGGGTCATTGCGGCGGCGGCGCGGCGGAGCGGGACCATGGTGAGCGCGGGACACCGGGGCGGGGGCACCGGGCCAGGGACACCGGGGCGGCGGGACGGGGGCACCGGAGCAGCGGGGCGGGGGGGCCGCGCCGGGCGGCCCCGCTCCACGAGCCCCCGCTCCACGAGCCCGCTCCCTCCCGCAGTGCGCGCAGGCCGACGACTGGCGCGCGGCCCGGAGCATCTACGACTTCCACGCGCAGGACATCGACGGCGCCCCGGTGTCCCTGGAGCGGTACCGGTAGGAGCGGAGCGGGGCGGGAGGCGGCGCCGCCCCGGGGACTCGCGCCCCAACCGCCCTCCTCGCAGGGGCTTCGTCTGCATCATCACCAACGTGGCCTCCAAATGAGGAAAGACCGACGTAAACTACACTCAGTTTGTTGACCTGTACGCCAGATACGCTGAGAAGGGTTTACGCATCCTGGCCTTTCCCTGCAACCAGTTTGGAAAACAGGTACCGGGGGCGCCGGGGGGCCCCGGGCGGCGCCGCAGGGCGGCCGGCGGCTCCAGCCCCGTGTGGTGCCGCCCGCAGGAGCCCGGCGACAACGCGCAGATCAAGGCGTTTGCCGAGAAGTACGGGGTGAAGTTCGACATGTTCAGCAAGGTGGACGTCAACGGGGACCACGCGCTCCCGCTGTGGACGTGGATGAAGGCGCAGCCCGCGGGAAGGGGCACCCTGGGCAAGTGAGTGGGGGCACCCGCCGGCTGGGGACACCCCGCGGGCGGCAGGACAGGGGGCCACGGCTCATGGAAACGGGCGGCCAGGCAGCAGCAAGGGGAGTTTTTCCATCACAGACTCACTTGTGTCTTTTTTTGTCCCTTTTAGCGCAATAAAGTGGAACTTCACCAAGGTAGGATAGAGCTGTTTTCTGCTGGGCTCTGGTGCGAGCCGCGCCAAGCGGAGCCCTGGCCTCACCCGGCTGCTCTTTCGCTTCTGCAGTTTCTTATCGACCGCGAGGGCCAAGTCGTGAAGAGATACAGTCCCATGGAGGATCCCTACGTGAGTCCTTGCGGTGGCTCCCGCGGCCCTGGAGAGGGAAGCGCGATGGTGCCGGCTGGGGAGCCGTGTCCAGAGGAGGCCGCCGGCCTCTTCCCTTCCTCGGCCTTGGCCCGGGAGGCAGCGGGAAGGGAGACGGCACCGAGAGCAGCCTGGGCGGGACGGCTTCCTTGGGGGACAGCCCCGAGCTCGCTGTGACGCCGCCTCTCCCCGCAGGTGATCGAGAAGGACCTGCCCAAGTACCTGTAGCGCCGCCGTGCTGCCCCGGCCCCGGCTCCCGCACTCCTCCCCAGCCCCCATGACGGTCTGTCTTTAAGCCAGCTCGCTGGTGAGACAAACCCGAAGACTTGGCGTGCACCGGCTGGAGGAGGCGCCCGGGCTCCCGGCCTCTGCCGGGCAGCTCCACAGGCACAAAGCAGCAGCTCATGTCTCCTTGCAATAAAGTTGTGGGAAATGCCTGAGCATGTCCGGCTGGTGCGGCCGTGCGGGGGACGGGCTGCTCTCCGGGGCTGCACGTGGGCTCTGCAGGGCAGTTAAGCCCTTACACAAGTCCTGCCTTGGCTCCCTGCGCAGAGCTGAGCAGGGATAATCCTCATTAGTGCTGAGGGGGGAATTACACAAATCCTGGGTCAGCTGGAGCAGGAGAAGGGCTCCAACCCATGGGAAAAGGCAAAACAAGGTGAGGGAAGGGGGGGAGCTGCGTGCACCCCCCTGCCACGGGATCCCGCTTCCTCAAGGGCCAGCGGGAAGGTTACAGGACCGGGTGAATTCTCTCTGCTGGACTGAGATGGGCTTGGGCTGAGCAAGATCAGAGGCACAAGAAAATAACCCTCGGCCCTCCCAAAACGTGACCCTGGTGCAGCCACGGGGCCCGGTGGGGCAGCCAGGGGCCTGTTCGGGCACGGTGTGAACCAGGGCCAGAGGGTTTAATGGGAAAGGAAAACGCGTGGCCGCCCTCGAACCGAAACGGCGCCGGCTGCAGCTGCACAGGAGCCTCCCGGCACCTGCAGCAGCCCCGCGGTGTCCGGCCGAGTGCTGCACAACGAGACCCCATCCCAGGAGGGGAAGACGGGAGAGGAGCAGCCCCTGTCCGTGCCCAGAGCAGGGAGCCAGGGATGGGGCCGCCCTGGCAGCGCCCAGTTGCGCAAGGGGAAGGGAAGGACGCGCTGCGGCTCCACAAGCAGCCCCGGCTCCCAGCGGGACGATGAGGGCGGCTCCGGGAGCCGCAACTGCTCCTGCCCTGGGATCCGCGCGGACGCGGAGCAGCGACGCGCACAAAGCCTGCAGCCGCTTCCGTTCCGTTTTTACTGAGCACAGTGAAAAATTATCCTTCTGAGGCAAGTAGAAAAGTTAGGAATTATTAGTCAAAAGCACATATTCTAAAAAAAAATCTCTTTACATATATACATTTCACTTAATTATAAATACACATAGAAAAACAAAGGCAAACGTCAAGCGGATTAAAAAGTGCTAACAAAAAGTTTTAAGGGAGGAAAAAAGGATTCATTTAAAAATACATACAATCAGTAGGACAAATGCATAATAATTTAGTTAAAAGGTATCGTTACATATTATTAACCCTGACAAAAACACAGGATCGGGGCAGGGAAGAGTTTCTTTGAAGGTGCTCTGTCTTTCCAGAGGTCAGGGCGGGGGAATTGCATATATTTTAAATAGTAACATCAAAGCCACCCTAGAAGACAGCAGGTAACGGTGCTCCGGGCTCCCTCAGGAGAGGTGCCGGGAGCGGGAATACCTCGGTGCGATTCCTGAGTTGAGGCCTCTTTGAAATGGGGTTTCTTGGCGTCTCTTTTCTCTCTCGCCGTTGAGAATCCAGCGAGTGCCAAGCGAAGGAACCAGGACAGGGCAAAGCCGGAGCCACGGGGCCCCTCCGGGTTCCCTCCGGGTCATCCATGAGCATGGAGGGCTGGGAAGCATCTTAAATAGGAGCTCGGGAAGGGGAGCCCTGCCCCAGACTCGGGACAGGCTCTGGTGGCTCCGATGGGAGCAGGGGGATCTTTGGCGTTTGCTTGAGGTAACCGGGGGCTGCCCGGGGAGGGGGGACGGAGAGAAGCCCCCAAAGCGAGGGCCAGGTCCCAGGCTGGGCCCCCCCCCCAGGCCCCTCCCCAAGGAAGGGCTGGGACGGGGAAGGCAGGTCTCAGGTTGTTCCCTAGAAAATATCCCAGCGCTGCGTCCAGGGAATGCAGCAAAGGAAGCTCCCCAGGCCCTGCCGGGCGCTCCTGGAAGAGCGGCCAGTGCCGGGGAAGGCGATGGAGTTGGCGGCAGCTCCATCGCTCCGGGCCCTGCGGAGCAGCCCCTGCTCCCCGGGAGCCGCGGCTGCGTTTGCAGCAGAACTGCTCAGCCCGGTGCTCGCCAGGACCTCGTCCCACCGAGGGCAATAGCGGGCAGCCTGGATCGCCATGACCCAGACGGACCCGGCTCCGTGCCCCTGGCCCAGCCAAGGACAAGCTGCGAACAGGAGGACTAGTGACAAGGCCACGCAGAAGGACGTGGCAACTCATCAGGAAGACCTTAGCCAGAGACAACGTGGGGCTGTGGGGCTGGACAGGGCTACGGGACAGGCCGAGGGGCCCCAGGGAATCCTGCACGTGGTCCCTGCAGCGCTGAGCTCCTCGCTCAACACCGGCAGCTCCTGCTCCATTTCATTAATGGGGCTGCTCCCCCTGCACGACGCAGAGCAGCTCCGCGCCTCCCGGCTGCTCCGGGACGTCCCCACCTGCCCCTGCACCTCCTTGGCGCTCTGCTCGGCAGAGCGCGGGTTGGGAGCGGGATGGCGGCAGCCCCGGCTCGGTGCAGAGCAGACCTGGCTCTCGTTTCACCCACCCCTTCAATAACCACCTGGGGCATGGGCAGCTGCTGGGGCGCTCAGCGCTCGACGGCTGGGACGGGACAATCCGGCCTGGAACACTCAGTAGTCTAAAGGGCACAAGCAGGAGAGGAGGGCGGCTCCCTCGGCCCCACGGAGCACTGACCTTGGAGCGGGATTTGGACACAGCAGGGACCGTGAGTCCAAACCAGCCAAGTTCAGCAGCACTCGGCTCCTCCCAAGCGCATGGTATGTACAAATCTACACATGCCTGACTGTATATTAGATATATAAATAAACTTTGCTTTAAGGAACTATAGTTTTTTTTTCTCTCTTCTCCCCTCCAAAACACAAGTGGATCAATGCACACCAGTAGAAAAGCCAGTGCTCCCTGTGCTCTCTGCACCAAAGGATATAACCGGATGCACAGCGCTGAGCAGCGCCGGGCTGCCCCACGGGCTCAGCCACGTTCAGAAGTCAGAGAAGGGCCCACTGAAGTGGATCACGCTCTGGCGCTCCTGGGGGGCCACGTTCAACGTCCTCAGCATCTCCTCCAGCACCTCCCTGAAGTTGATATTGCCGTTCTGCGGGAGCAGGTCGTCCGGCGGCGGCGGCGCCTGCAGGGCCGCGGCGGGCGGCAGCGGCAGGGGCTCGCTCGGGGCCGCGCCGCCCTCCAGCGCCGCGGCCGGGCCGCCGAAGCCCAAGTGCAGCCGGTGCTGGAGCGGCTGCAGGAGGGGCTCAGCCGGGAAGGCCAGGGCGCCGGGGCTCAGCACCGCCTCGGCCGCGCTGCTGCGCGGGGGGCTGTAGGTCAGGTCGAGGATCTCGTCGCGGGGCAGGGAGCGGCCGGGCAGGGGCAGTCCCGGCGCCAGCTCCAGGGGCTGCGGCAGCGCGTGCGCGGGCAGGCACAGCGCCTGGCCCGGCTCCTGCGCCAGCAGCCGGCTGTGCTTCCGCTTCACGTTCTCATCCATCTGCTTCAGCTCCTCCAGCACCTTCCGGACACAGCTCTCGGGGATCTTTATCCCTAGGGGAGGAAGGTGCCTCAGTCCCCAAAGCCGAGGGGACAGAGGCACATGCAGGAGCACCCAGCTCGGGTCCCGCTTGCCTAGTGTCTGGCTGGGATCCTTGTGCCCGGAGCCCCAAGGAGACGCACCAATGCTGGACACAAACCAACGTGTCACGCAGGCCCAGCCACCGGCCTTCCCGTCCTGGCAGCAGCAGCTGGATCCCCCTTCCTTCTCTTACCACGTGCTGCCCCTTCCCTTCCCAGCCATTCACCCACCGACTTGTTTCTTCTTCTCCTTGGTCTTGAGGCGGACGATCTGCAGCAGGCCGCTGTTGGTGATGTCTGCCATGATGCTGGCGATCCTGCTCCAGACCCGCAGCAGGGCCCCACACAGCATGTAGTAGTGACGCAGGCGCGTGCCCTGGAAGCATTCCTTCCCCTCTTGCACCAGCCTGCAGCTCCTGTTCCTGCGGCGCGAGCAGGGGAGGACAGCATGGGTCAGCGCAGCGGGACCCCAGCGCAGCCCCCCGGCTCTGCCCCGGAGAGCAGCTCCCAGCTGCGGGCAGGCAGGCGCTGCGTGGCTCTTACCGGGCCGCGTGGTTGCAGTTCTGCAAGGAGAAGTGGTAGCTGCTCTCCCAGTGCTCCTTGGCCTCCTCTGGCAGCACCTGCAGGAGAGAATGTCACAGAGATGGAGGTTTCCCACTGTCAACGTGCGAGCTGAGACCCAGCACTGGGAGTCAGGACACCGGGGTGCTGCCGTCAGCTCTGCCAAGCCTCCGCGGGGCCATGGACAGCTCACGGTTAACTGTGCCCCCAAAGCACAAACACATCTCATGGCAGCTTCCCATAGGGACAGCGAGGTAGCCAGCGGTGTCTTCCTGCCAGGGAGCCAGGGGACAAGCAGCCCAAGGGGCGCCAGGAGACACCACGGAGCTGCGGGGCTCCCGGGACCACACTGAGGGACAGGGCAGCTTTGCCCAGGTTCAGGGCCAAGCCTCACGGGTCCTTGGGACGCAGCCCCGGTGCTGCTCTGGGCCGCAGCTGGGCACAGGGGCCCTTGGGACACAGCCCTGGTGCTGCTCTGGGCCACAGCTGGGCACAGGGACCCTTGGGAAGCAGCCCCCGTGCCGCACTGGGGCACGGGGCCCCGGGCCGCGGGCTGCACCTACCCGCCGGTACTTCCTGTGCAGGCTCTCCAGGCTCTCGGGCTGGCTCTGCTTCCCAATGTTGGGCTTGTAGAGGATGAAGTTCTTGCCGCGGCTCTGCTCCGCCAGCAGACATGTGTGCTTGCAGCCTCGCATCTGCTGGGTCAGGGCTGCCGTTACGCTCACGGATCCGCTTCCCAGGCACAGGCTCCTCCACCAACCCCCTGCTGCCCCACTGGGGCAGCCCCCAGAAGGTCACACAGGCACCCAGGGCCTTGGCAGCCACAGCAGAGCACCCGCTCTGGAGTCCTTCAACAGGCAGAGCTCCACACCTACCCTGTGGGACAGGTAAAACCCATCGAACGATCCCGTCAGCTTGAGCGACTTCTCATAGGCCTCTTCCCACTTCAAGCCTCTGTCGACACTGATCTAAATAAGGACAAACAGATTCTGGATTTGCAGAGCACGCGATAAGCTCAGCCTCTCCCACAGATCACATCCCAGCACATACGGGCACAGCTGCAGCTGTGGCCTGGAAACAGGAGCTGTGGGGGCCTCAAGGACGTTGCCTCAAGGGCAGGCCCAGAGTGCAGAGGGCCTCCGGGCTCCCACCTCCAGGGGAGCAGAGCCCCGAGGACGGGGAGCCCTGAGGTGCAAGGCGGGGAGGAGGACGAAGGCAGCGCCCGAGGGACAGGACAACGGGCTCTGCCAAGTGGGACAAGGACAGGACTGGGGCTGTCCTGAGCTCCTCTGTGCAACTCCCAGCACCAAGGCCCACTCATGACGGAGGCAAATGGGATAGAAACGACGAGCTGCAGGAGGAGCCGCGCTGGGGGAGGCCCTGGGCACAAAGCACTGCGGGCTGCCTACCTTGTAGAACACAACCTGCCCATCCTGCGGGTGCCCAGGCGTCAGGAAGACCTCCTTGCTCTCCTCGTAGATCTCATCCACTCCTGGGGCTAAATCTGGAGCAGGAGAAAACACCAGAACACGTCCTCATTTACAGCACTAGGTCCGAGACCGCCCTCGCTTTGTGCCCATGCCACCTTCCCTCCTTCCAAAGGAGTCTCGGGATTTGCTGTGAGGGGCTGGGACAGCCCAGCACCTGAGGAGACCACGGGCACAGCACCGTGCTGGAACAGCTGGCCAGCCAGCGCAGGGGCAGCACAGAGAGGCCCCCTCTCTCCTTACCTAGGATGCCCATGTCGTATTTGCCCTCCTTCTTGTCCTTTTCAATCAGGTAGTCAAAGGTGTCAGAGAAGTACTGGAAAAGCATGTTCTGCTTTTCCACCTCGAGACCCAGGATCCGGTTCAGGAACTTGGTGATGGAGCAATCTGCAAGAACAGGGGGGTCAAGGAGTGTAGCCGGGTGTGAAACCCAGTCACATTCCCCAAGAGACTTGTTCAGCACCCAAGCAAACACCTCCCTTTCCCGGGCAGCAGCACAGCTGCTCTGTGGAGATGGACCCGAGGCTACAGCTTCCGCCCTTCCATTTCTTCCTCACAACAGGCAGAAAAGGCAGCAACTCTTACCCTTCTCCACCGAGACGGTGCCGTACTTCATCTGATTGCAGCAGATCCCCACAGAGATGAGGCCTTGCTTCATTTCTGGAATGGCAGAAAGCAGCCTTGGAGTTCGGGGATCGAACCCCCGCTCAGGGGGCCTGCAGGGCTGCTGCCCCTCCAGCTAAACCCACCTCCCTCCAACCTGCTGCTCGGCACATCGTGTCCCAAAGCCGAGAGAGGCGCAGGCAGCAAGGCACAACAGCAGCCCCAGAGCTGCTAATAGTCTTACCTTTAAAAAAGGAAGCTTCTCCCCTCTCATAGCCCTTGGGCACAGGAACCTTGTTCTCCGTGTGGCTGAGGATCGTGGAGAGGACTCTGTCCAGCGCTTTGGCCCCGTACTGTGAGCGGAGACACGAGTGAGGCCGAGCCCTGCGCCCCGCTCTGCCCGCCCGGCCTTTCACCAGCACCGGAGACCTCCAGCAAGGGCCCCGCGACCGGCTGTGCTGGGGGAAGCCGCCTGTCACGGGCCTTGTCTGGCCCAGGGATGCCCCCCGTGCACATGTGCCCTCACCCCAGCCTTGACAGCGGAGGCAGATCACCTGGCTGCCCTCATCGGCCTCCCCCGAAAGGCCAGGAATGGGAGGCACTTGGATGCCCCAACTGCTGCTGTGCGGGTGCTCGTGGTGCTGCTCCCTGCTTGCTAGGCCACATCCCGCCTGTAGGTGCCAGCAATGACCTTGGCACCCCTGGCACCTGCTGCTTCAGCCCTCCCCGTCGAGCTTCCCCGCAGCCCCCTTACCTTATTCTCAAAGTTGTACTTGCTGAGGTCTCGGGATTCGGTGGCTCTTCGGTCTCCATGAGTTAAGGCACCCTAGGAAGAAAGACCAAGTGAGAAACTCTTCAAAGAGCAGGAGGAACTAACCAGCGTAACAACATGAGAGAGATCAGCCATCCTGAGAAAAGAAGCAACTCCATGAGCAACGTTTGCTGGGCCTCTAGCCAGCTCAGGAGCATCCACCAGGCTTTAACAGGGTTGTTGAAGATTATCAAGCAATATATCTTTTGTTTCCTTAGTTAAATCCAGAAAACACTATTTTTTTCTTTATGCTTTTCTGAGACACCACATGCCATTTAGTTCTTAAGATGTGACAACACATTAAAGCTTAATACAGCAGGCAGGCTGCATGTCACACACATCTTCACAAGTATTTTAGTTCCCAAGTTTTGGCTGTTGCAAATTAGCAGAAGGAAGATGCCCAAAGCCATCTTGTCTTGGAAGATGCCGGTATATGAATGCACTGTGGGCAAGCAGCGACTTTCGGGAATATCAAGACTTTCCCAAAGTATTTGGGGATTTATCAGAAACAAAGAAAAATGAAACTGCCTGTCAAAGTGCAGTCATTAATATTTGTATTAGCTGTCCGGAAAAGCATGGGTGTAAGCTTCTGTAATGTTAGGGGAACTCCAGCATCTGGAATTGGGTTCTGCTTCCCTGAAATTCCTCCTGTTGTCTTGGTTAAAATTTCCTCTTCAATTTCTTTTTCCAAATCCCAGAAGGTTAGAAACCTTTTTCAGTCCATAAGGCCAATGCCTGAAGTCGGGGCCAATTCAAGCCCTCACACTAGTGAGGGTCTCCGTGCAGAGGAGCTACCAGAGCTGCTCAGAGGGAAGCTGAACCGACTCCCATTGCAGGGCACTTACGAGGCTCTCCAGACGTTTGGCCACGATAGATGCAAACCTCCTCTCTCCTGCCAGCTCAGAGATAAGGAAGACATATTCCGGAGCAGAAACCTGATTGGAGCGGTGCGTTCGGCCTGCAGAGATAGGAGTAAAGAAGGGAGTGAAAGGCGAGGTCGGTGCTACCTATCTGGCCCTTCCCATCTCCAGAGGTTCTCCAGAACACCAGAGAAAATCTCAGGCACCAACCACCAGGCACGTTTCATGAGGAGGATCTCCTGCTCACAGGCATGGGGAGACCTCCTCCTTTCCACACCACAAATCATCTCTCAAGTCAACAGGAATCTTCCCTACAAGACAAGCTGATCACAGCTGCCTCCTGTCTGGATTTCTACCCTGGCAAAACACGACCCTGTGCTCTGAAAGCTACCACCTCAGAAAGTCAAATGTGGGCACCCCGGGTTGCAGCCCGGCTTGAGGGGCCAGGCTAAGGCTTCGTTCGGACGGCAACACGAGCTTTTCATTGCGAGGGCTGCCCAAGGCAGCACCCTCTGAAACACACCCGGGGAAGGGGACGGTGACCAAAAAACTCGGTCCTCACCAAACTGCTGTATGGCCCGGTCTGCACTCCAGGGTAATTCCAGTGTCATGTGCACCCGGCGCTTCTGGTTCTTCACCCGTCTGTCTGCTTGGAGAGAGATACCTGAGCTGGAGGCCTCGGAGATTATTGCTACAAGCTGAGAGAGAAGAAACACCAGTGAGAAGGGAAAATGAGGTTCCCAGTCACCTGCAAGAACAGCTAGAGCAATACACAAACATAGCTCCAGATCTTGGAAGCCACCTGGGCCTTCTTATCAGTTGCTAGCAGGGCAAAACTGAGAACTCCCAGGCCTTGCTGGCCTCTGGACTAAGGCTGGGAAGGCAGATACATACAAGCCACCCTCCCTTTCCTCCTCCATCAATGTACTTGCTCTCACGCGGATGTTTGAAGGTTCTGGCTCAAACCTCACTCACCTTCTCCCCATTCATAAAACGCTCCTTCTCCTTCAGATTGACGTGGTCTATGGAGAGGCCTTGTTCTGCACGCGACTCGAACACGACAGAGCCATCCGGCCTGCAAACCACCCGGCCCTTCCGCCCAGTCATCTGCACACGCCGCAGACAAAGAGGGGAGAAGAGAGAGCATCTGGGTGAAACAGCGCTTAGGAAGTCAACTCTAAACAGCTTTTTCAGGTTGCAAGGAAGAGGAGGGAACTCTTTCAGCTGCAATTCCCTTTGCCGACCCCTTTTCCCATCACCCATTGCCAGGGAAATAAACTCTTGACTGTAGGGAGTACCTCTGCCACGTGCTCCGGGCCCCCAAAGTGATTGATCAGTTCATCCAAGGTATTGAGAGGTAGCTCTTTTCCCAGTGCTTTTACTTTTGCTAGGAGGTCCTGCTTCATCTTTTCCACATGTTCTAGTTCTCTCAGGCCATGCATCTCTTTTTGAAAAGGCAGCAAGTGAAAATTGCCTGCAACGTAAAAGACAAAAGCTCAGAGTCACCTGGTGATTACGGATTGGAAGAGTCAAAAGCAACCAGAAGTTGGCCCTAAAGGTCTTCTGGGGTCACCACCCAGGGTGCAGGCAAAGCCTTGAAATAAAGGACGCTGCAACCAGGGCTGCGAGGCCCCTGCTGCCCTGCTCACCCCTGTCCTCGGCCGCGAAGCCGTTGAACGTGTGCTCCACGAAGATGACGTCGTCCGTCTCGAACACCGACTCCGGTGAGGAGTTGAAGTCGCTGTCGAGCCCCATGTCGGAGTCGGTGCTGCTGTCATCGCTGATCTTGAACACGCCGGCGGGCTCACACAAGCCCTTCAGGGCCTTGGCGCAGCGGCCCTTCTGCTTCCCTGCAACACAGAACGAGCAGCGTCACCCAGTGCCCCCGGCCTCGTGTCTCCATGCAGAAGAGCAAGTGCCAGCTCAGAAAGAAAAGAAGAAATCACAAAATAGCTGAGACTGCCTCAGCAGGAAGGCTGATTTTGGAGAGACGAAGCCTTTGGGCACAGGTGGACAGTTAGGAAGGGGAGGGAGGAAGGAGGGAGGGAGAGAGAAAGAAAGGAAGAGAGAGAAAGGAAGAACGAGGCAATCGTTGTCAGGGCTGAAAGCTAGCTGCACACGCCAGGAGGACCTCGCAGCCGCCTTAAGCAGCGTTAGCTCCGATGGGAAGGAGCCCGCAGGCCTGCCTGCCCTCGGAGGCGCTTGTCGGCAAAGGGAAGGTGCCAGTGTTTTGGTGCTCGCAGCTGGGTGCCCTTTCCTTTCCTTTCCTTTCCTCTCCCTTGCAGCACAGGACGCAGCCTGCATGTGCTGCTCTGCAGCGAGCGCCACAGCCTCGGCCCTGCTTCCGCCTTCCCCGGCCCCCCAAGGCAGAAATCCCAGACTGTTCTTACCTGCAGCCACCACCAGCTACCCAGCAGGGAAGGGATTCTTTTCCCAGAACACTTGCCCTGCTACGGGCGAGGGGGAGCAGAGGAACCCCCTTGGCTCCCACTGTGCCATCAGGGCTCCGGTGCCACCTGCCCATCAGCCTAGGCAGGGAATCAGCTAAGGGCTGGGAACTGCTCCCGGGAGAGGGCAGCGGGACCAGGGAGGAAGGGGGGTGACCTGGAGAGCCGCCCTCCTCCCAGGGAGGGACAACAGCGCTGGGGAGGAGAGGGAGGGCAAAGTGGACCGGGCAGAGCAGCAAAAAGCAGGAGGGGGAGAGGGAAAAAGGAAAAGCAGCAGCTGAGCGGCTGGGTGAAGCAGCAGGTGGGAGGGCAGATGCTGGGCAGCGCAGTGAGCTCTTACGTTTTCTTTTAATGCCAGTTCCTTTTTCTCTCTTTCTTTTGGTTGAAGGAAAGTGCTTCTGAATTAGTGATAGAAAGACGCCTCTGAAAGTAAGATGCAAAATTTATTCTAGCTACCAGGAACAGGAACATCTGCCGGTTATCGTGTAGCAATGTGTACTTGAGATAGCAGCATATGTCAGGAAAGGGGGTAAACGCAGCACCACAACAGGTAGAACACCATCGGTCTGCCACTTGGTAGGGCTCGGCTCTCCAAAACTGCAGCAAAACAACGCGGGTTTGCTCCACCACAGGGCTCTGGCAGGCCCAGAGGCCAGCCGAGGAAGCGCGCTTTGCTCCAGCAGGATCCCAGCCCGAGGTGCCGACGGATGCTGGAACGCCGTGCTCCGAGCACTGATGCTCTTACCCTGCAGAGCGGAGCAGAGCCCAGGCGCCGGATCCAGCCATGGGCTTCACCAAACCATTCCAATACCTGGGCACGGGTCGGCTTGCCCGTGAAACAGAGAAGGGGCATAACATGGGAAATGTAGGGGATTTGGGTGAACGGCAAAATTAGAAGAGCTGGAAGTCAAACAAATGCTTCTGTGGGCTGTTCTGCAAACAAAAGAGCTTAAATGCTGAGCAGGCTGATGACGCTGAATGCCCAGTGCAGTGAGGGCTGTGCTAGACGAGCTCTGCTGAAAACAGTGCCCAGAGCCAGAGCTGAGGCAGGGACACGTCAGGCCACCTGCGTGGCAAGAGGGACGCGTGGGAAGCAGGGATGGGGCGCTGGAAGCCGGAGAGGGGCGGCCGAGCTCCGGGCTGGCCCTTCGCTGGCTCTGGTGACACCGGACAGGGCCCCCATGCCCTCCGTGCTGGGCTCCAGATGCCAAAAGCCGCTTGGCTCCATCCCGGGCTCATGATCCCTCGCTGAACAACCAGCCGAGCTTTAACTCTCTTCCTCAGGATCCTCTAAACTGCTGCCCCTTCCCAGCACCCTGCCCACCAGAAATGCCTGTCACGCTGTCAAACCGGGCCCTGTGACAGGGACTCGGCCTCCCCAGAGGGCACCCAGGGGCCTGGACAGGGCTGCGGTGCAGGCGACTCAGCCTCTAAAGCAGGGCAGAGATAAATAGCACCAGCCAGCGCAGGGGATCCAGCCAGGACTGGGCTCCTCCGAGTTCTGTGGTGCAGGAACTGACGGACCGAGTCCATCCAAGCAGCGCTTAGACCTGCTCTGTGCAGTCGACAACCGGTATTTGCCTCTCAGGAACGGCCCAGAGGCAGCGAAGCGACACAGCACGAAATGCCTCCGAATCCCAGGGCCCCAGCCGGACACACACCAGCTCCGGCATCACTCGTTGCCTTCACCCACATTCAAAATCACTTCAAAATAAAGTAGCAACAATCCTGCTGCCTGCAGGGCACAGAAATGCAACTCAACTGGCTGCCCCAGTTTTTCACCACCTCTCATACAGCAGTCACGCTCACGGGACGTGTTGCAAGGTGCAGGAGTCAGGGGGAAGCATGGGTTCCACTCGCTGCCAGAACAGGGGCCCAGCTGCTGGCTTCGCTCAGGTACAAGCGATTCTCCCCTTAGCTATGCGAGAAGGCAACACAAGCAGCACGCGACAGCATCCAGCAGCTGGACCACAGCCCCGCCTTGCAGTCATGCTCAAACCCTGCAGAACTTGGATTTCCTGGAGCGCTCCTTCCTCTCGCCGCTCAGCAGGGCTTCTCTCATGGTCCTCCCACTACATAAGATTCCCCTGCTTGTTTCCTCACCGTCAAGGGCCATGTCTCCCAGGTCGGCCCCACACTAACCACACCAGAGCTCACATTTCAAAGCTCTGCCACACCACTCAGTTCTTGTCCAAGTTAAACCCTCCTGTGGTCCTTTTAGATAACTAGCATCCAAATACCCAACAAGGCATCCTCTGTATTTACAGCTTGTTTAGGGTGAACTCTTTATGAAACTGGCCTTGCAGAACTACAGGTTAAGCAGCCCTAGAACAGGGCTTTCCCTAGCGCCTCCAGCCTCCCATGTGTCCTCTCAGCAGAAGCAACGTGCATTTCCAACTCACTCTGCAGCAGAGACGAAGCAATTCAGGTGGCCGTCGTTTTCGTCCAGGACCTCTCTGGTGCGCGCCTCGCCCGTGGACTGCAGCCCGATGACGATGCACTGCGGAGAAACCCCACGGGGAGCGCGGCGTCAGCGAGGGCACCACGGGCACCGCTACGGGCTCGGGGAATTCCCTTTCACATATCCAGACATTTTCATTTACCCTTTCCAATGCACACACTGGGTCTACAACAGGGTCTATAACAGGGCTCCTGATGAAGCCTTATCCTTAAACATCCCACTTGGTACTCCTGCTCTGCTCACACCACTGCATGGATGACTCTACTTTCCAAATTAACTGATTTTGCTAGACAGTTTCTGAGTTTCAGCTATATTTAAGAGACATTTGAAATCGTTTTCAAGTCAAGTTGAATAATAATCTCATCTCGCTTGCAGACTCCAGAGATTCACTGATAAAACTGATGGTCGCTGCCATTTGCAGCGAGCTTTAATACCTCACCTTATCCTTTGCCAGCTCCTCCTTGGCCAGCTCCACGAGGCGCCGCACTTTAGCAGCAATGCAGAGATACTTGAAGAAGCGCTGGTGAGCGGACCAGAACTGGCCCCACAGGGACTTGCGAGACTCCAAGCCGATCCAGTCGGCCGCCTGCTGAAACACCATCAAGGCCTCTGCCCACTGCAGACAGGACCGAGAAAGGACGGTTAATATCTCGTTCTTCACTTTCATTACTGCTGGGCATGAAGTTACTAGGACAGTCTGAGGTTTCTTAATCTAATTGAACATCACTGTTTCTGCTGCTCTGTTAATCTGAACAAACAGCTAGGCCATTCTTTCCTCGCCACACCAGCACAATGTTGCAAGATTTGGTTTCCAAACACAGAACTTTTAAATAGAGACAAAAAACCCACAAAATATATTTTTTTAAATGTAAGCTGAGGCTGTTCACCATTTTTCCTTCCTTTGTTTTTTATAAACAAACTTATCTGTGGTCACGGCTGTGTTTAGGGACCTCTTATCCTCCCATATAAGAAGTGGCAATGCCCAGAGCATGACTAAACACTGGTCACCGTACTGCAGGGCTCCAGCTCACCAGCCTTGCTGCTTTATCGTAGACAGTCTTGTACTGCTCATCCAGAGGGATCTCCTCTATCCTGAAGGTCACTCCGGTGAAGCTGAGCTGCCTGGCAATGTACATTCCACTGACCTTCATGTCCATCGCCACGATCTCCATTGCACCAACGCCCCTGGCAGAGGAAGACAGACAGAGCTGGCTTTGAAAGCCTCTTTCTGCATCTGCACAACAAGGACCTCTCCTGGTGGCACAAGCTGACCTCGGACACACGTGACAGGCATCCTGCCCGCTTCCCAAATGGGAAAATGACTCTTCCAATCTTGCTTCAGCTTAATTTCCTCTGGAAACCAGTGCCCCACTACAAAACCCACCCAAATGCACTGTCCTTGTCACTGCTCCAGCCCAGCAAGGACAGGGTGACAAAAAGGCTTTGTCCTTCCTCTGCAAACATCCTTGCTCTCTGTCTTGCCATTTAAAGGTTGCCACTGGACAGTATTTTTACTTTTAGGAGCAAAAAGGAGTCCTCCATACAGTTACCAGAGACCAGCGGGTCAAGGCCCTTCTCTCCCCAGTCTGTCACAAAACATAAGCCCTTCAGAAAGGGAAGCCAGACACAACCTACCTTTTTTCAATTGCATGCAGGAACTCCTCAAACACTCTGAAAGGGGTGCCTTTCCCCCAGATGCCCAGGCGGCTCATGTAGATCATGTTTTTTGGCTCAGAAGCACCTGTTTGAACAGAATTCACTGTTAGGTAAAGCAGTTGTGAACAGTTTTGACTCAAGAGAAGTGAGCTTTGAAAAGGATGGGCATTCACTATTTTATCATAGAAGACCCAAGGGGTATTCCAAGCACTGCCCTTAATGCATAACAAAAGACAAATAAAAGGCAACAAAAGAAAAACAAAAGACCAAGACAACATCCCCATTAGGGGTTAATCTGAGGAGACAGTAGTCTGTCTTACCAAAAGTCACCAAGAGGCAGTGACAGAGCTTGGGGCAGATCCCAGGCTCCTATCTGCTCTTTAGCAGAGGCCAACAGAAGCACTGCTGTACAGTGCTCTGATGTCCCTTATCTCTCCTTGCACGAGCACGTGCTCTCAGTGTACACGATGACATCTCAAGGACATCCTTCAGACAGGACAGGAGAGCACAGAGCTGAGCGGTACTTATTTCGGTCCGGGGCCCCCGGGACAAGCTTACCTGTGGCACTGGCATAAACCACCCTTGCTTGGGGCAGTTTGTTCTGGAGGTCCAGCACCGCTTTGCCCATCTTAGTGGAGTTCGCATTTTTGGCTTTGTGACATTCATCAAATACAATCTAAAAGGGAAGCTGGTTAAGGAGAAAGGGTGCGAGATCTTCCTGAGGGTGGGAAGAGATGGAAAACACAACCCAGCTTCCTCCAACCATCTGCGCCACTTGCCCCGTGTTTTTTTTTTTTTTTTTTTTTTTTTTTTAAGGATACAACTCCATCAAAATTTTCCCTGCACCAGTCCAAAATCTGCTTTAAGCGTGTCCTGTGTTGTCCGCCTGCTTGACTTTCACCAATCAAAGCAGAGTAAGTGGCAAAGAGGACTCCTTCTGAGGTAGCTGTGTCACCATATTTAATCTGCACGAAGAGGAAGGACAAGAACACACACGCTCATGACACCTGTCCTCAATATGCTCTATCCATCCTTCTCCCCCAGCCAGTACAGCCCATTCTGCTGTGACCGAACAGGACACTTGCTCCTGCCTTCGGGAAGGAAAACCTTGCTTGCAGGATGGCAAACACAAGGCAGCTCACAGGCTGGACAAGAGACACAAGAAGAGGTAGGTTATGAGGAGCCCTGGGAATAAGCACAGCTCCACCACGGCAAGGTTTCCTTTTTTTTTTAAATATCATATTCTAATGCTTCATCACTGACAAGAGAAAGTGTGAACATGCTCCGATTCACTCCACAGGATGGAGAGGCCCGCGTGTTCAGCCGTGGCCCTGTGCATCTATGACCTCCTGCCAGGCCCCAAGCTGTGCACCAGGACGTGCAGTGTGTTCTGAGAAGGGGCGCGATGAAAGCAGCACAGAAGAACACGAGCCCACGAGAGCGCAGCCTGGCCATGCCCAACCCGCACGGCTCCCTCCGCAGCACTCGTTGGGAACGGCTAAAAAGATTCAGGTCCTGCACTGTGATGGAGACACTTCTCACCTTCCCCACAGGAAGCAGCTCTGTATTTGTGCTGCAGCTCTGGAGGGTGCATAAAAAGCGAGAATCCAGAGTGGGAAGAGTATGTGGAGAGACAGGAAAGCCAACAGCTTGCTGCTTTCCAGAGCACCGGTACACCTCCTCTCCCCTACCTTATTCAAAGCATGCACGGGAATGTGGGAGGCTTCAATGTCTTTCAGGTCTCTCTCAGCATCATACTTGAGATCATTGGAGACGCTGAACCTGAAAAACAAGATACAGGCACGGTTATGTCCTGAGGAGACAGCCAGGGCCCGCACAGTGATTAACAGCTGACTAAAGCAATAGTAGGTGCACAAAAACACCACGTTTCCAGCTGCCCACACAGCTCAAAGCAAGATCCTACAGCAACCTCCGCTCTTTCACAGCCACTTACAGCAAGTTGTGCCTATTCTGCAGAAGACCCCATCCTCTAGAGGCTCGAGTCTGCACCCAAGAGGTCCATGAATCCCCCCTTGAACCGCTCCAAAGACAGCAGGAGTAGGCTTGACACTGCGCTCCACGTAGTATGTGATTTGCCATTTCATAGTGATTCATTCTCCCATCACCCCTTCAGAGGAAATATTCCCATTTCACAGACAACAAAGAGGCACAAAGAGGTGGAAATGACTTCTCCAAGGCCACAGTGAGTCAACTTTAAAGCTAACATCAGCACTAAGGAATTCCTTACACCCAAATTCAAACCAACTCCAAGGTCTTACAGGAACAGAGAGAGAAAAAAAAAAAAAAAAAAAAAAAAGGAACTAAAAAGGAACTTACCACAGAGCTTTTTTCCTCCCTTTAAGATAATTTTCAAAGATGATCCCTGCAACTGTCCTGCCCTTTCCTACTCCAGCACCATCCCCAATGAGGAATCCAGCTCGCTGCCCATTGGGTAATAAAACTTCATGTTGCTGGAAAATCAAAAGCAGAGTTGGAAATTAAAATAGATTTGGCTTCTGCCAACAGCTTTCAGCGGAGCTTAGAAGAGGGCTCCTAAACCCACTCACATATGCCATGGATGCAAGTGCATTTCCTGCCAAAAAACCAAAGGCAGGACTGGCCAAGCTCCCCAGAGACAACCCATGGTAGAGATCCCCAGGGCTCTGGCTTCAGAAATGCCCAGTGCTCCCACCTCCAGCAGAAGTCAAGGGTTCCTGCATCTTTGGAAAAGACCCACAGAGACAAATTCCATGTCTCCAGCCTCAAATAATGTTCCCTCCTTCACCAGGAGCATGGCCCATGCCATTTCCAAAGGCAACTCTTCTATATTACAGGCCATTTAGAAATACATTTAAACATCTGTCCATAGGAAAGGCAGGGTTTATTTCTAGTGCAAGCCATGCAAGCCAGGCAAGGTGGAGCCACGTACCTGGCAGGCATAAACGATTGCTTCCAGCTGTAGTGCAGAGAGGGACCCTTTATTGGCAATGGAGAGCGGGAGGGAAAGCTTGTAGGTGATATCAGGTGGGGGGACGCTGGACAGAGTGCTCGTTTCAACCACAAGGTCTGGGTGATGCTTCCCAATCTTGGCTATAACAGCAACACAGAAAACATAAACTCTTCACTTCTCCACAGCACCTCAAGGAGGACTCAAAGCTCTACAGTAACGTTCTGTGGCTCTCTGCTCAGGAATAACCCACATCTCCTCCGAAAGGAAGAAACCAAGAGGAAAGTGATTAGGGGAGCACAAACCAAGGGTGACAAGGTTGGCATGCAAAGTCCTTCCACAAAATCACAACCTTGGGGTATGGTAGGGCAGATACCACAAATTGCTCGCAAGAAAAGGTAGCGGTGAATTATGTTGGCCCACAACGGAGTTAAGAGCACTTCTCATATCCACAGGATGGCAAAACACTCACACTTTGAAGGAACATATTCTGCATATGTCTCTGTTTGCCCCAACTCCTCAGTTTCTTCCTCTTCACCTTCATCCTCCTCCTCTGCAGGAGCCTGAGACTGGAAAGTAACACAACATTGACCAAACATGAGGGTTCACATTGAATTAAGGACACATAGTCTTACATAGCACCAAAGACTATGGGCACGATGCCCACAGTGGTGCTCGGGTGGGCTGTGGGCTGTGTGAATTCCACCCAGCTGCACTCTGATCCACAACACGAAACCCAGATCAGCTTTCAACTGAACAGGGCGCCCAGCAGCAGAAAGCAAAGTCACACAATTCCAGGAAAAGAGTAGCCTCTATCGACTCTGCTGATGTAGCGGTAAAGAAATTCTTTACAGATCATTCTTTAACACAGTGAGACTGCATCAAGGGAAATATAAGACACTTCTGGGAAAGGACAGTGACTCGTAATGCATCTGGCTGATTTTTCTCATCTTACTCCCCCCGAGGGGAAAAAATGGCTAGAGCCGCTCTTTTCTGTGGCGTTAGCGAGGTGAGAACCTTCCCCCGACTCTGGAGCAGAAGCACCTTTCCTACCTGATAGCTTATGAGGAGGGGGGTGTTGGGGACAGCAGGAGCATGGTCACTTGAGCTGTTCAAGCCGGAGAACGACCTGCTGGGAGAGAACAGCTGGAAGAGAAAAGATGCAAGTAAGTAAACAGCGACAACTCTCACCCCTCCAACTGCAACCCCGAAACATCAGGGCACGAAAGAGGACAAGAGCGAAGATCCCTGCACTCCGTGCGCCCCGACACCCTCAATGCACTTCAATAGTTTCTGTTTGTGAAGTGCAATGGAGCGTCAAGCCAGGAAACGAATAAATCTTTCAGATGCCCTATGTGTCTTCAGCAACCCAAGCACAGAACTGGCGAAGATAAACACACTCCTGCAAGAAGTGTGAACTCTTTGCGTGTGTGATAAAAGCCTGCAAGGATGTTCTTCCTGCAACGCTGCAAACAAGCCCGCAGCCCCTCTCTAGACTGCTCGAGTTTACCATGGGAATACCAGATTTCTCTGTGTCAGGAGCAGTGCTGTTGGTCCCTGCTTTCCCACCCGCTCTGGAGGGAGCTCTGCACAGAGCTCACCCAGGAGCCACCCTTGCTCCAGGCTCCTGCAGCTTCTCCAAGTGGGATCTCCGGATTCCTTCTGAGCTGATGAGGCCAGCTGAGAGCAACAGGTTGGATTTGCCAGGGAAGGGAAAGAGCATCACTTGGGGACCAGGAGAGCTTTGCCTGCCACCAAGTCACACTGGCATTTCCTGACAGCGAGCCAGGCCAAGCCAGCAGCTCTCGGCATCCAAACTGCCTCCAAAAGCAGCTCCGCTTCAAGTCTATGGCCCGAGAAAGGTGCCAGACTGCTGAGACCCGTCCTCCACAGGCAGAAGTGAAAGATGGAAGTTCTTAAGCATAAACATTCTGATTGTTTCCTTTTTTCAAATTAAAAAAAGAAAAAAAAAAAAAAAAAAAAAAAAAAAAAAAAAAAAAAAAAAA